CAAACACTGCCAGCCTCACACCCCTCTCACCCTGAGGAGAGGAGCCTCTTGGCCACATATGAAATTATTCTAGGATTAAATCCTATGGTGCTCTTTCAGATAAATTTGCTCTTCTTTTCCTAAAGGAAGTTAATTTTCAAAGTCTTGGACATTCTCCTTTATAGATGTCGGGTGTGGAACTGCAGTTTTGTTCAAAGATTGAATATCTTTAATCAGAGATTACTCTCACCTTGGTAGGAATGTTTCCCCCTGAGCAGGGAGCTCACTGAGGAGCTCTGCAGTGAAAATGAAGGAAAACATCTCAGAGCTTTTTGTGCACCATCTTTGTGAAAACCAAACCTGAGGCTTCTGCACTGAAGAATAARTTTACAGAATCATCCTTTTGCTCCTCAGGAGGATCCTGCAGCACCACAGCCCTGTTCACACATTTTGCAGTTKCTCCACATCACATTTTTCRTACTCACTTGCTGCTTTCCCCGTAGCTGTGCAGGGACGATGTTGCAGAAATGACACAAATCACCAGTGGGCAGCCTGCAGAAAGGCAAATGCAGAGGCAGTGTTAGGAATAAAATTCCATCTTCCAGGGAGTCCAGCAAGTTCTGCTAAATTTTGTATAAACAGAACAGCTCAGAGTCMTTTTCAAATGAAGTCTAATTTGACATTGTCCTGCAGCTCTTTAATCCAACAYGTTTTAATCAACTGAGGTCAGACAAACAAAATGACTTTTTAATAAAGTACTAGTTTGTAAGTGTTGAGCTAATTAGTGCTAATTTCCTCGGAATCATTGTCCTCTCGAAGCCTGGTTTTGCTTTATGGACATTCTGCCTCTTGCTATTCAAGCAGTGATACCATGTGAAGCAATCTCAGCCTTATTTTAACCATTTTGCCCCAAGTAAGTGCGTTTTTGTTCAAGAATTCAGAACAACTTTGATAGGAGAGCAGGGTTTGTCACAGGGGTGCATGAAGAGCAGGGGAGAGGACAGAAATGGTGACATTTAATAACCCAGAAATGGTGACATTTAATAACCCAGAGCATCACACCACAGGGACAGAAACAAACTCAGACCCCGCTCGGGTGCCCATGCAGGGCTGATTTTAACACAAACTGCAGTGATCTCCAGGATTTCTCTCTTGGTGTGGACATTTGAGTGTCCTGAACTGTCCTGGAGCTGCAGGGAGGGCTCTGGGGTGGCACAGGGACACTTTGGGTCAGACCCTGCTGTGCCACTCGAGAGCAGCAGGGAAAACCAGGGATTTACTGCAGCAGCTCTGAACACAGCAAAMCCAGCCCTTCAATATTAAATGACTGCCTGTTCATTCCTGGATCATTTAATCAAATGTGAAGCTTTGAGCTTTTATCATCTTACAGAATTTAATAAACAGGTCCCAGACAGATTATTAGACATGATAGCTTGAAGTTCCAATTTTCTTTTTAATTCTTTAGGCTTTCTGCTTGAGGTAGAAKTCTCTGACAGGTAATTTCTGTTTAATTTTACCACTATCATCCTCACAACTTCTGTAAAGTTTTTCACTACTGGCAGAAGTATAATTTTTGGAAGTAGTATTTTCATTCTTTAATGACTGCATCTAGAAGCACATTTATAAATATCTATATATTGATATGTATACGTATTTATAAATATGGGAGATACTCAGTAGTTAAGAAGCATTTTCTTTTGAAAGCTTCAATATCTTCAATACATGAAAAAAAAGGGAAAACGCCAAAAACAGGCTGTGGAAACTCAGTGGCAGACAATTCAAAGCAATTTTAGGACATCAATTCTAAAAGGATAAATATGTCATTTATTGAGAAAGATGAAGTATTAGACACAAATGAAAGTRTATTTCCTTCCAATGATGAAAAGATCTGCTTTGCTTGATGGGGAAAAGTATCATCGCCCATTTATATTGAAGAAGTTCATTTTCTATGATTTTCTTCTGCTGTGTTACATTATATCCAGSCAGAAGTCAGGGACTACATCAACTCACAGCAAATAATGAAATTTATGTCTTTTGACAGCTCAGAACCAAGTCTGCACTGTGCAACAGCCTCTAAAGGAAAKGAAACAGGCTGAAATAGGGAAACATCCCGTACCACAAACTGTCACCAGCATCCTACAAATGGCAGGAGGAAAAAGCTTTGCCACAGCAGCCTCTGCCTGATACCCTCAATCACCAGGGCGAAAATGTAATTTTGGGGTTTTTTACCCCATCAGTCTCGGGGTACTTTTAGGAGTAGGTTCTGAATTCCTTGTGCTGATTACTATGAATGGAGTGGGAGCAGCCATATATATATATATATATGTATTATATATATATAGATGTGTGTCTGCATTATATATATATATACATAGATGTGTGTGTATTATATATATATACATATATATATATAGATGTGTGAGTGCATTATATATATATATATATAGATGTGTGAGTGTGTATTATATATATATATATATATATATAAATGTGTGAGTGCATTATATATATATATACATAGATGTGTGAGTGTGTGTGTATTTCTCAGCAGTACTAACACCCCGATCTGTGTGGTGCCAAATACGTATTGAATATTCCAATTATGACTGCAGCAGGCCTGTATTATTGATAAAATTACTTTTCATGTATCTGAAAATGAATTTGGAGGGGAAGAAAGATAATGCATATTTTAACATATTTTGAAATTCTGTGTAATTGCGTAGATATTCCTTTTCTATTTTTTCACATCTGTTCTTTGACTCAGTGTATGAGGTTTCTCCTTTTCCAAATGGGGATCTTTGTCAAGCACCACTGCTGCACCTCCAGGACTGTGAGAGAACCAGGGAGCTTTCATCTGTTAAGAGTCTGCACCAAAATATTCCGTTCTGGCTCTCCAAATATGCACTCAGATTATGYTTTCATTATTGCCCTCAAAAAGCCCTCAACTGCTGTCTGTGACATTCCCATGTCACAGAACTGCTTCCTCATTCTTTATCGTAATATTGGGGTTCTGTGCAGACTTTTAATCAAAGATTTTTGAGGCACGAAGCACCAACTAATGGAATCTTGTGATCCTTCTGTGCTGCTGTGCCCATTTTCAATGCATGGCTTTGCAGAATAGAGAGAGAACAGCCGGTGTTGTGAGTTAGAACCAGAAAAAGAACATATCAGTGTAGAGAGAGCTCCCTCCCACCGCCCTGCCATKGATTGGTAATGAAGGGGCTGATCTGGCCTGGAGAGGCATTCACTGAGGTGGAATTAGCTTAAGGACTGCGTGTTTTGAAGTCTGATTGCAGCCAGAAAAATGATGCATTTTCTTATCCCACAGTCCCACTCTCAGTAAGGCAAACTGTGATGATAAGACGACAATTTCAAATACTCTTCTGAGTATAATCKTGTCCTATAGTGAGGAGACTTAAAGTAAGCAGCTGGTAAATGCYTACCCCATCCAATTCCATAATAGTATAAGTGCTTGCTTTCTTCTGACCCAAATACTTTGATCACCATGCTGTAAAGATGAAATCCTTCCACCAGCATCCATGCAAAAGCACTCAGGAAGAAAAAATGAAGGAGAATGGCCAGGATCTTGCAAGGCACCTGAATTAGAAATAAAAATGAATCCATGAGTTCTTTGTGATACAGTCACACTGGTTTTCCAATTTATAAGAAATGTCTATAGATATTTACATGCTAAATGCTAAATCACTGARGTAAAACAGTCTTTAAAAGAAAGCACTATACAATTTCATTTTTCTACTGCATTTTTTTGATACCTTCAGAGTAACAAATCCTCTTACCTTCAAAAAAAACCCAAAATAACCCTAGCAACATTGCCGAACGTGATATGGAAATCAAAATGTGTTATTTATTTATAACAGTAAGGGAAATACTCCTACCAAAGCCTACAAAATATTTAAGAAATCAAAACTGAAGTGTCTGCTCAACCTGTAGTAAATACAGGAATCCAGTAAGTGGGCTACGTGTGTTGTCCTGTGCCCTGCTCCTTGTTTTTCTTTGAGTTGCTCCTCTAAGTGATCTTTACATTTTTCTCTGAGTGATCTTTACATTTTTCTCTGAGTGATCTTTACATTTTTCTCGAAGCCTCCCATCAGCTCAGCTCATGAGAACAGGAAAGGGGCTCCATTCTTCCTGCACGGTGACCGAGCAGATGCCACCATCTCAGCATGATATAACATCTCAGCACAAGATAACCTCGGTGACACCCTCACAGCAGTGACATCCCTCTGTGACCCCATAGCCGTGTTATCCCTCTGTGACCCCACAGCAGTGACATCCCTGTGACACCACAGTTGTGCCATCCCTCTGTGACACCACAGTTTTGCCATCCCAGTAACACCCACCCAGCACCTCCAGTCCCTGCAATGGGAACTCTTTTGCGTTCCTGAGCTGAGAAGATCCCAGAAGGGCCCCAGGCCGGTGGGTCTGAGCTGGGGATGCCCCAGCAGCAGGAAGAGTTTGCTGCCTCAGATGTTCCTGTTGATTCTCTTTGGGGCATTTGCCAAACTGTGCTGAGCTGTTCTTTGTGCTGGTGATTTGGGGTTTTGTGCACTAATGAAAATGAACACGATGGGCCGTGGTAGTGCAATGAAAATTGAGGCTTTGCAGCACAGCCTCRCTGGTGCTCAGCTGGTTCTGTGCTGCTGCAAGGACATTCCAATGCAAATCCAATGGACTACGYGCGTTCAAAAGCAATAAATTGGGGGTTAATTTGTGCAAGTGAGCTCTGTATGTGGTTTAGTATTTCACAAAGTTCAGTGACATATTATTAAACCAGATTAGCTTATTGACAAAAGCTGTAAAAACCTTCCCAGTTAATTTTATCATAAGGCTATAAAATCCATTTTAATGCCTTTTGATTTCGACCGGAAGATTAGTCCACAAAAATATAAATGCAACATAAAGCTGACTTACAGAGTAGTTCTGTCAAATGGATCATTTCCAACTCTTGAGTAGCCAAACAATACAAATCACAAAACAGCAGAAAAATAACCCACAGTGAAGTAGCAGGAGGCTGTTCTGTATGTAATTTCGTATAATACCTAGTTGCAGATTTGTACATCAAATCCTTAGCAAAGTTGCTGCTCGTTCTGATATTTTTTGCCTTAATTATTGCTTWGAAGTTACTCTTAAATGGCAAAGTTGCTTTCTCTGAAAGCACTGAAAAGCTGAGCCTTTCCATGCAAAACCCGAGCATGTCCCTCTTGATGCACCATGTGAAACACCATGTAAAAAAAAAACCATGTGAAACACCATGTGAAACCCCATGTGAAACAAACACCATGTAAAACACTATGTAAACAAACACCATGTGAAACACCATGTGAAACAAACACCATGTGAAACAGCTGCTTGTAGCAGAACACCTGAAAAAGGCAGATCCTGGTACTGGAACTCTAAGAGCTGACAACTCCAGAGTTTGTGAAAATAGTAAAACCAGCCCAGCCAGCAGCAAGGTCCAGCTTTACAGTGTTATCCCACACAATTACTGCTGTTACAGAGGATGTAGAGGTAAAAAAATGCATGGATTTTGTGAAGCATTTMATTTCACAAAGCCCATGTGTAAAACAGGTCTTGCTTTCCTGTGCTACAGTCCCGGTTTCACTAAAGAACAGCTTTAAGAGAAAATATGCACCTGTTAATTCAACTTGAGTCTGTGTGAGCGTTTCACAGCAGGACCTGTGTGACCCAGGCACAGATAAATGCAGCTGAACTCTGGAATGGTCCTGGAGAACTTGGGGTCTATCTGCTCCCAGCCCAGCCAGGAAACACAACTTGGATTTTACAGGATTCCAACAGACTGAAGGGACTGGCTTTGATAAGGGGTAAAGAGGCTTTCACACCATCTGAAGTGACTCAGCTGAATTGTCARAGAATTTGGAGTGGATGAAAAAGAAAAAACGGTGAGAATAAGACRCGCTGTTACGCTGAGTGAACCTTTCAGTGCCCTCAAGCCTAGGCCCTCTCAACAGGGTTTTAGCTCTGTGCTTAAAGAGGATTATTTTCATGCCTGGTTTCYACTGTCTTCAGTTTCATCTTTTGCTGCTCTCCAATGTCTCCATTTCATTTTCCTCCTCAAACATTCCCTACCATTTTCTCCCTTGCACATTGCATGACTCACTCAGGACCCACCTGAATGTAAAACAGCAGAATATAAACTTTGTTTTGCAAAGGCCTTTTAGATCCACAGGTAACAACATCCCTTGCAAAACAGACATTACAGTTATTGATAAATGTAACAGAAATCCAAGGGATCACATTTGAGCTGAATATAAATCTATTTCTGTTGYATTGGCAAAATGAACAATGAACAAACCTTCTGAGAATAAACAGAAAAGAAAAACCCCATTAATAAAAACCATTGTCTGCTTCTGGAAAGCATTATGGAGCAACAGCAGGTCATAGARTAGCCAAGTTTTTACCAGCAGAATACCAGAGCACCCTGGAAGTTTATTGTAAAGCTGGGCTTTGTTTCTGCTCTTCAGGTGGGACTCATCAAAGGCCTTATGTTACTTTAAATTGCATTTTTTAAACACAGCAGTGGAAAGAAATTGGTTTTACTGGTATGTGATACTGTTAACTTGGCCTCTTTGCCTTTGATTGAGGCAGCTGTTTTGGGTTCAGTGTTTGGATCCCGCACTCTGCACAAGGAATCCCCTCCTGCAATAGGATGGCATTTTTGGCTAAGGCAGGCTAAAGCAGATCTCCCATGAAGACACTTTCCTAGAGATGGCATTGATCCATGGATCTGCCCCCCAAACACCCCGCTGGCAGCACTCACCGTGGCAGGGCTGAACTGGAAGCTGGTGAGCAGCAGGATCTGTGCCAGCAGCACGGCAAAGGCCAGGTTGGCGTGGATGTGATAGCGCTGGTTCCTGATGGTGCTCACTGACCTGCAGAGACAAGGGCACGTCCATAAAACTGTGCTCACAGGGGACCAATCCATGGCTTATCTGCAATTATTCACACTGGCACCAATCTATCCATGGCTTATCTGCAACCCTTTACACTGGCACAATCCATGGCTCATCTGCAATTATTCACACTGGCACCAATCTATGGCTTATCTGCAACCCTTTACACTGGCTTTGCTTTGTGTGGGGTTATCATGGTGTCTGCTGAGCTCTCTCCACCAGGATGGTTTTCCTGGTTTTATTTTGTTGGTGTTTACCCGTATGAGAACCAAGAGAATGTGAAAAGGTTCCAGTTGTGACTGATCCCATTGTAAAGTCTGAAGAGATTGGCTCCAGTTGTGGCTGATGCCATTGTCTGAGCACAGGAAGCAGAGCTCTGCACAGAGATGGGCAGTGCCTGTCYTGACTGGGACCTGACTGTGCTTTCAACATCATTTGAACAGATCTCTCGTGGCTTTTCAAAAACCAGCTGGAAATCTGTCAAGAACAGACTTTCCTGGAAGTCTCCTGACCTCGTGTTTCTGTTCTCATCCAGAAATAGGAAACAGAAAACAAAAACATAGTTGTGAACATCTCAGGCCTTTTGTTGGATTTTGTTTTTCTCTWTAAAAAACAAACACTGCTGGTGATACCAGGTTTCCTATTCCAACCCACACTGCCCCACGCAAGGGGAATGAAGAAGGAGAGGACAAGAAGAACCAAATCCCAAAAGGAAACCCAGAGGATGCACTGCTGGTGCCAATGGCTTCAGTCAGGAGCAGAGATACCCAGGAGGGGTCAGGACCCTCTGGGAGGGGCCGGCACTGCCAGGACATGGAGGAGCAAAGAACTTTCCAGATTCTCCTCCGCTTATGTCACGGTCATCCAACACCACATTGCAAAATTTCACTTCAGCTGCTTAACGAGACCCTGCTCTCCCGTGAAAAGCTAATCAAATTGTTTTAATTGGCATTTTGAAGGATCCTGTATGTAGGTGGGGCGTTAACCCTGTGACAGTCAGCTGGCTCCAAGCTCTCTGTTTGACTCTCTCCAAGAGAGACTCTTCCAAGTCTCCAAGTCTTCTCTTTGACTTCTTGAGGAATTTCCAGCTCTGCTGCAGCAACACCACCTCCCTTTGCTCCTTTTTCCTTTCTAAACACACTATAACATCCAATTTTGCACTCAAGCATGGAGCAGATCATTCCCCCTAGCCTAAACGTGCCAACAGCTCAGTGCCAGACAGGCACATGTTGGACTTGTTTAGAGTGGACTTCACCACACGTTATGCACTTAATCCAAGTATGACCAACGCAGATCTTGAAACTTGGAAATARGACAGGGTCTGGGAATAAACAAGCATTGCAATCAGTTTACTAAGATTCAGCAAGTCCTTTTCCCTAGAAACTGGCCTCTTAACAGGATCTCCTAAGTACATGCTCAGGCACAGAAAACAAAAACTGAACTCTCAATAGGAACAACATGGTTCAGTGTGTGAAAGGAGACAAGAATTCTGCTCCTGCTCCACTCCCAAAGTGCTGCRCAACCTTGGACAAGTTGCTTCACCYTTAGTCAGGTTTTCTATTTTTTATTTAGACACAAACCTTTATGAAAGCTTTTTTTCAGAAATGTTTGTGTCGAGTCCAGCTGGGCCTCACACTGTTGTCAGTTCTGGAACATGAACAGAGCAAAGGCCCTGAGTGCCCTGGGGCAGAACCTCCCCAGCACAGAGAGCCCTACAGGGCTGGTGTGGTACCTGATGGAGATCCAAACATTTTAAATATGAGCCAAAGAGTGAATTCCACACTGCTCACAATCCTTCATCCACTACAGAATACTGTAGAAAAGCAGCCTAACAGAGAACAGCAAGATCCTTGAAAATAAACGTGGCTATGGTGTAATTGTGTACAAGCTTTGTGAAACAAAAGTCAGGCACTAACGCTGGCTGAGACTGGGAATGCCTTACTGGGCATTTCTTTATAAACACTCTGCTTGCAGATGGGACTGCAAAAGCTGCAAGGGCTGTCTGTGTGCTCCAAAATGTGTGTGTGCTCCAAAATGTGTGTGTGCTCCAAACTGTCTGTGTGCTCCAAACTGTCTGTGTGCTCCAAAATGTGTGTGTGCTCCAAACTGTGTGCTCTGAGCTATCCGTGTGCTCCAAGGACTCCAGGGATGTGAGACAGTGCAAAACCAGCAAGGACTGTCTCTGTGTGCTCCAAAATGTCTGTGTGCTCCAAACTGTGTGTGTGCTCCAAAATGTGTGTGTGCTCCAAACTGTCTGTGTGCTCCAAAATGTGTGTGTGTTCCATACTGTCTGTGTGCTTTGAGCTGTCCATGTGCTCCCAGTTATCCGTGTGCTCCAAGCACTCCAGGGATGTGAGACAGTGCAAAACCAGCAAGGACTGTCTCTGTGTGTTCCAAGCTGTGTGCTCTGAGCTGTCTGTGTGCTCCGAGCCATCCAGGGATGTTTGCAGAAGAAGCACAGGGGCTGATCCTGCAGTCCCTGTTCTCATTGCTCTGGATTGACTCCAGACCAAGACCTCCTAAAAGCCTCCTTGCAAGATTCCTGAGCTGTTGCAAAGTAGGGACAGTTTAAAAAAAAAAAAAAAAAATTAAATCTCCCACAGGATGGAAATAGCTTGCTGTATAAAGACCATCCCATTTCAGGAAATGAGAGTAATTTAGAAATAACCAGCCAAGTGTTACAAATGCATGTGCAGAATCTAATTAAGGAGGTTGTAGAATTAATAGCCTTTGTTTTATCCTGAATACCTGAAGGGATCTACCCAGCGGCCTGAAACGCATTTCTTGCCTTTCTGCGCGATGGCTGCTCGGCAGGTATTAAATTAAAATTACTCACGATAAAATCGCGAATGTGACCAGCGTGATCGTCAGGCAGAAGATGGACAGRGCGCAGCCGATGTAAGTGATGGAGGACAGGGCCACCTGGTGTTCTCTGCTGAGCTGCACTCGGAGGAAAAGGAGAGGAGAACATCAATTGATGCACGGGGCAGAGCGGGGGTCAGCGTGGGAGCGAGCGGCACAGGAGCTGAGAGTCCCGGGCATTCTGAGAGTCCCGGGCATTCCCTGCCCATTCCCGACCATTTCCTGTCATTCTCTGCCATTCCCGGCCATTCCCAGCCCGCAGGGAAGGTTTGAAGGTTTTCTCCCGCTGCAGCCGCAGTCCCAGCCCGGCCGTTCTGTCCCCCCGCTGTCCCCAGCCCGTGTCCCCAGCCCGTGTCCCCAGCCCGTGTCCTCCCGCTGTCCCCAGCCCGTGTCC